AAAAAGCTAAACAGGATCCAACCTGAATTGTAAGTGGATGGGAAATAGCAAGGAATCCCAAGACAGGAAAATTGAAAAAAACATCCCAGAAGAAAACAATGACAAAATACTTCTATACTGCTGCCAAGAAATCTATATGCTCAACTCAAATGAAATTTTATTTATTTTAATTTATTTTAATTAAAATTTCAGAGTCCTTTTGCAATGATTCAGTAAGCCATGGAACAATATACTATACAATACAGACTTTTCCCTCCAGTTTTGAAACTACTAGAAATTATCTATAGGCAGCTTGGAAAATACAGTTTTGAAATTTCATGAACTATATCACTGTGCTTCACTTAGTTCATGAAGTCCCCATGTATTACCCCTTCACCGCAAAATGCCTTAAGCAAATGTTCTAATGCAGGCAGAGGTATCTGTGGGTGTGTGTCAAAAAAGTCAACATGGTGGGCATAGCCACACAATCAGAGACCCTTTTCATGTGCATTGCACATGAGCAACACATGTAAAAAATGGCAGGGCTTCAGTCACACAGTCACAGCTATAATCTTGACTTCTTTTTTACACACACACCCCACCCCTCATGGAAAGCCCTGTATGGAGATATGAGGAACTCTTGGTCAAGCATAACAGAAAAGTTCTCTTATCTCACCCAGATCTGAAGCAATCGGTTCATACCTGGCCAGCTTTTGTCCTTGACACCCTACTGTAATTATTCCATAATTCATCAAATGTATGCATACAAAATACCTTTTGAAGGATTGGACACCTGCTCCGTTTCTGTCTGTACAATTACTAAAGTAATAGGAACTATTTATAATGTTGCTAATTCTGTCACTATGCATCAGTCAGAAACCCTTGAGGTACATCTGCTGAGAGTGAATGTGGCCTTTTTCAATTTCTTCCTGCACAAATACTATAGTTGCAGGCACTGTTTAGACTAATGAGAATTATGTCAATATAGACCAGGCAGGCACTGTGATTTCTAAGCCAAAATAGCATATGAGTTTTTACAGGTTATTTGAGGTGAATATTATGTGCTGTCTCCAATTGGTTAATTTTTCAGAGTACAAGTAGAAATTGAAATGTACTTAGTACTCCCTCCTAAAAAGAAAGTTTATCTTTTATTATTATGAAATATCCATATATGTGGATCTGTATATGTATAAATAATAGATACCATATACTTGGCATGAGCAACTGACTTATGGATTTTTAAAATGGCTATACATCAGTCATTTTACAATATGAAGAAAAAAGAAAGCAATAATAGGAAAGTTTCTAAAAGAAGAATTTCATACATTAGATGACAATGAAGCACAGTAGGCGTATTTTATGTCATGTTGTATTTCTGACTTACAACTTCAGTCAATGATATTTGCAGGTTGGCATAATTCCTAACCAATTCAGAACTCTTGGAGAAAACAAATTCCACGTATCTTCTTAGCTTCTCCTCTTAAATTTGCCAGTGTTTCTTATCATCTCTTTGATAGTCTACAGCAGTGTTTCTCAACCTTGGCAACTTTAAGATGTGTGGACTTCAACTCCCAGAATTCCCCAGCCAGCCTGGGAAAATGAATTCCAGTATTTTAATGGGATAACTTGAACGTAACACCTCTTTTTTTCTTTAAAAACTATTACAATTATAGACTTGGGGGACTGATGCATCCTAAAGATGTGCAAAGCTTCAAAGCAGTGCTTCAATTCAACAAATCCATTGAAACAGATTCTCGAATAGAGGTGGAGACCTGCTTAGAAGCAGGAAATGAAACCAAAAGGCTTCAAAGCACTTTGTAATCTTTTGCAGTGTGTCACAAATGGCTTTTTGGCTGCTTCTGGGTTGTTTACAGATGATGTTCAATGTTGCATATATGGAGAACTTGGATTGATGGAGTAATATTGACATAGTGGACTGACGAGTTTTAGCTTCTCCTAAAACTCTCCACCCATCAGAGTTTTTGGGGAGCAGCAAGGCTTACATCATTTAGGCCTTTATTCAATTTCTCACCTTCCAGCTTCTTGAACGTGGTCAACTACAAGTCTTAATTTTGCTCTCTTCTGTGCTAATTTAATGTCACACTTCTCTGTTTTTCCTGCCAACTCCTCTCTCTGCATTTTGAATTATGCATGATTGAGGCAGGTTTAAGTCTCTTGACAATGAGTGAATGGGTGCCAGGCTAACCCTTACAGACATTGGCTAAAACTTTTAGTACTCTCAAAATAGGTGTGGTGTGGTATGGTGTGGCAAGGCTACAAATGCCACTTTTTCTGTGCCAGCCCTTTTCTATCTGGCGATTTATCTCACGATGTTAGCACGTTGCTTCTGCTAATGTATTTTCAGCAAACCTCAACCTTGGTACAACCAAGTAGTGAATTGGTCTATCCAAGGAGGGGACAAGCTTATCATGTAGCTATGCCAACCCTCCCAGCATCCCAGAAAACTCCAAATCAGAGAGAGCAAATTGACAGAACTTAATGAAAACAAATCTGTGATTGTTCTTTAATGCCACACCAAGCCCGGAAAAGCAAGTGGAAAAGTAAGAGCTTTCCTTTGAAGCAGTTCTTGAAGTCAACTCACTTTTTGCTGGACAATTTGGAAGCTACCATATTGTTTCTTTCTGATATCTCTGCCTTCCAAGAGGTACAGGAGGAAGAACTGAAGACATCCATCTAAAACTTGGCAGGGTTCATGTCCTTTATACCTACTATTTTTATCAAATTGTGCCAAAAAATGAATTAGTTACAGACATGTTGATGCTTCCCCATTATAGCCTATGGGTGTGTCTTTTTTCCAGCTGAATCTCAAAGCAGCTTGAATGGAATCTATTTGCCCTTGAAATCATGAATGGCAAACTCATGTCAAATCGTGTCCTCTTTAGATCTCACAAATCCAGTTAAAATAAAATCAGGACTGATTTGCACCAGTCTAACACAGAATTATGTTCAGAGATTGAAGGATGTGTCACATTGCACAGATTTCTATCTGAGCATGATGAATACTAGTGACTTGCATCTGAATCTAAATGATATGAGAACAGTTTGTAGACTCATGACAACTGCCTGGATAGCAGTCTTATATTAGAAATTTCTAAAAGGTACTATTGTAATAGTTTGTGCATGTGCAGAACTCCATTATGCCTCTTTTTAAAAATGAAGCTTCCTTTTTATGAAAGAGTGCATCTAATTGTTATAAGTCTCTGTGCATATTACATGCCTCAATAATTGAAAAGTATCACTGCAGGCAAACTCCAATTCTTAATGAACAGAAGTCTGCTTCTGTTCTGGGGTGGTTTTTTGCACTCAGTTTTGTTTCAAATATATCTTTCAAAGAAGGAGGTAATACAAAAATATGAAAGATAGAAAAATAAGATACAGATAGTGAAACACAGATGGATAAACAACACATCTGAAATACTGTAATGATTAGAAATTGTTGATAATGTAAGATAGTGTCCATTTTCTAGTCAAACCCTAAATGTCCCTGTTGAACTTTAAACTGAAAATACTTGGTTAACACAGCCTGTGTGTTGTTTGCTGACATGGGCTATTTTTTTGCATTCCGGACAAAGACACTTGAGTGTCAAGCTTTGTTTATAGAGAGTCCCCCAACTTAAATTAGCTGCTCACCAGCAAAAGCAATCAAGGCTCTGAACCAAACATAGCTGCAGGCAAGAGCATGAAAGAACCTTGTGACATAATTCATAATCCCCCAGGCTCTCACACCTGCTCCTCATTCAGTGTGCTATCTGCTGTCATTCGTCTGCAGTGTCCCACCACATTCTATGGAGGATAGGCAGGTCAGACTACGTGGGGCTTAAACTTGGCTTCAGAAATGTCTCAAAACCAGTAGAAGGATGTTTTACTAGCCATCCTTAAAGGATTCCAGGAAACAACACAGGAGTTACATTTTGTCAAAGAGGTATGGATTTCTCATCAGACCACCAGTGCAAGGATGACTGTGTTACACGGAGCACTTGTTTTGTGAATGGCCTTCCCAGGGAAGTGATTTCCACTATCTGTATCTGCTTTATTTCCTTCTAGCCTTGTTTGTAATTCTTTCCCTGATCCCCCCAAGAGTGTGATTCATGCACCTGATAAAATAAAGGAAGTGAATTCCACCCACAAAAGCTTATGCTAGAAAAAATGCATTGATCTACAAACTGAGGAGTGTTTCTTGTATGTGAGAAATGCTGGTTCAAGCTTCAGCTTAATTTTTCACTTTTTAAACATATTTGATGCATATGTGCTGCTGCCATGCATGTGCCTTCCAAATAAGGTGCTTGCATGTTATAATAATATGGCTTATGAGCATTTGTCAAAGAACAAACTGAAAAAAAAACTAATAAAATGTATTATTCAATAGCTAGCAACAAAAAAGAAGTGACATAGCCTAATACATAATAAATTTCCTTATTTTCCTTGTTTCTCAGATACCTTGATAGTTGTAAAACAATATAATTAGCTAATTATTAAAGCCAATTATGGCTGAGCCCCTGATTGTCTGAAATAAATGACATTGATACTGAAAAATGATATTAATATGTAAAATACAGCCTTTCTAACTTATTAACATAGCAATGGAACATAAATATAACAAACAAAAAATGCTGGGTAAAAGATGTTAAGAGAGAGTTGATTTTCCCCCAGTTGATACTATAATATATTCATGATATTGCTTTCGGATTCAGAATTCAGTGCCTTAAGCTAGAATGAAACTGATGATTATAATATTGTGTCTAAATGACAGTATAAACTGTGTGCTGCATAAACCTTTATACTCATAGCAAATTTGTTAATCTGAATTTGCCCAGGAGATTACTTTTGATGGCGCAGGACACATTCAGATATTGCATTCGTTCTCCTGTGTATTTAACAACTCATGGAAAGTGGCCTGCTGCACAGAGGGCTATGATTCACCTCCTGCAAATACAATGCACCTTCAAACATGAGATGCAGTGTGATTGAAGTCAGATGCTTTAAGGAGAAGAAAATCTTACCTTGCATTTCAGTCTGGGTATTGGCTGGAAGTGAAAAAATAAACTAAACTAGCTCTTAGTTCTGAACAAGATCCATGATTGGCTTCTCATTTTTTAAAAGCAACCTTTCTACCTCCCACAACCTGGATTGGGACCATAGGCTGGGTAAGTGATTATCCAGATAAAACTCAATTTGCAAACTCTTATTTGGCCTGTTAAAAAAAAAGTAGTAGGAAGTTCCTGCAGAACCATAGAATTTCTGCAAAACATGTTGGGCTAGAGCGACTGTGGCCTGACACCATTCCTTTTATTTCACCATATTCAGGAATTTGCTTCAGCTGATACGAGCATGTGTGAGTCTTCACATTAGATGTATTCAGTTAACTCTGACATACCATAGGGATTTTAGCTAGATGTAGATAAAAAGTTCATGCAAAATTAAACTGAGTCATGAAGTAAGCTGTTAAGGCAATTGGTTTGCTCCGCTAGCGTTGAATATATAGACACTATATATTAGTGTCTGTATATTAGCTTAGCATGTTACCTTGAAAATGAAAGTTACAATTAGTTAATATGGCTTGGAGTGACTGATAGACTGTTGGGCACCTGCCAGCCTTGTCCCGCTTGAGGGCAGGCAGCCAAAATTCAGGTGATAACCCAAGACAGCTACCAATGACTTTTTCCATTTCCGCAGGTGGAAAAATCTATAAACGTTCCAGCAATGACAAAAACATTTTGGCTGAACTACCCATCAAGGAAATGAGTGGTCAGGATGCTGTCAAGGTTGGGGATCTGGATGGGACTATGAAGAGGTATTTTAATAGCCAGAAGGCCAAGGACTGAGGAAATTCTTTCACTACTTTCTAATTCCCAGAACTATAGAAGAAAATAGGGGTAGAAAGGGTGGCGGGTAAACTGAGGAACTCAGTACACAGATCTTTCTTTCATAAATGTGTCTAATTACAAATTGCAAATTCAGCCATAATGCTGAATTTCACAAAATCTTAATTTTATCTGTAAAACCCTATAGTAAATCAGTTTCATGGTTTAACACAAGTTGGACAATTAGATGGGGCCCCTACCCATTTGCTTCACTGCATACTATCCATGCCGATTTACTAACCAACTCATTCTGATCCTTTCAAAAGCCCTCTGATCTTCAGCAAGTTAAGAAAATGACTTCCAAAATGCATTTCTAAGAAATGTTTTTACATCTTCAAAGAAACCATGGTTGGTACATCATTATTTATAAGACGCTGAATTTATTAAAGTAAAAGGAATCCTCATCTGATACATTGGAGATGAGGTAATGACCTTTCAGTTAAGCTTGTCTAATATAAATGAATAAACACAGTCAGCAATGAATTGATTGAGTCTTTCCAAGTGCTGAAGACAGCGCAGCATATCTGTCTTGCAATCATTACAAACGTATGCATTCTGTTCATAAATTAAAAGGACATTTTCAAGGTTGCTAGACCTCAGATTTACCCTGCCTTGACAAGTGCTTCTGATTTAGAGAACTTACTGAAGTAGGTAATTAGTTCAGACTGCCTTGCACAACCACTTTGAGTGGATATATTTCTTTCAGTTTCTTGCTTTGGTCCAAATAGTGTCCAGTATCCTTGAGCAGATGCAAACAGGTTTGCAAGTCCCACAAGCAGGCAGCTTCTAAGGAATGCTTGGAGCTCTCTGTGAGTGCTTCCCTTTACTTGACTTCTTTCCCATTTAACATGTACGCATGGACATTAACTTCTTTTGAATTGCCTAATTAACTAAAAAGAATATCGCAGCACATCTGCTTTAGGAATGTGGTTGAATGAAATGCTTTGATGATAATGCAGATTATGAGAAGGATGTCAGAGGTCCCTCCTTTTTAAAGAAGATTATGTGACCATGATGTGCAACAATCTAGGAAGAATCAAGGGGTGGGCTTTATTGATTTAAGCCATTTCATACTTTGACCACTGTTTTCTAGCTGATATCACTTTCTCTTTCAGTTTTGCAGTAGGTATTTATTACAAGTGGGACAGAATCCAGTTTACAAAAGAGAGCACTGGTTGTCTTGGCTCCCGCTGTTTACACTCATGTATCCCATACAGTATTCAAAGACAGGAGCAAAATAGAAATATAAACCAGGATGCCCCAAATATATTTCAGGCTTTTTGAACTAAGTGAACATTAGCTGTTGTTGAGAAAGCCTTGCAGATTTTGTCTACAACCAAAACTGGGTTGAGAGAAGAGGGTGAACACTCTGGAAGACCTAATATGAAATTAAGCTGCCTTCTCTGGGGCTGGGGATGAGAAAGTCATGGAAATATGGTCTTTAAAATGGTTGTTGGGGCATGTTTGTGCCACACTTCAAAGGATTTGAAGATGAGTCCATTGCCCAGAAATTGGAATACAGCTTGTTAGTAAACTTTGACCCTGAAAAAAAGTATCTGGAGCAGCTGGCACTTGGAAAAGAAGAAAACAAGGGAGAGCAAGGACAGAAGGAGAGACCCACCCTTTCCCATTGCACAAAAAGACTAAAAATCTGGTTCAAATCAAATGAGTTCAAATCAAAAGATGGTCTGTGATGCACATATTAATCATCTTTCTGCAAATGACTGGCCGTTTACAAAAGACTAGGATGTTTTGTCTTATTTTGAAGTTTATTTTATTTTATTTTATTTTATTTTATTTTAATTGTATGTGGGGTGTGGATAAGAGGAAAGTTGTTCCTGCAGGACCTGGACCACTCTGATCTTAGGACTGATTTTCACCCCTCCTTCTCAATGTTTCCATAAAAATCAGTAAAGTCAGTAAAAAAAATCAGTAAAAGTAATTGGGGATAGTTTTCAGCCTGCTTTTGAGGGATTGGGGCAGTTCTACACCCACCTGGGCTGGATCTAGGGACAGCTTCTTTAGGAAGGGGCCCACCACTGCTTCTTTCAGGCGAATGACACCATTCCCTCCCACAGTGAGGTGTTAACCACTTTCCCAATCCATTCAGTTATTTCCCAACTCCCCACCCAAATGAACCAAAAAGTTCATGCAAAGATATGTGGAAATGACCTTGGGAGATGGGGCCCAGAGACACTCCCTAGGGAACAGTCAGATAAGAGAGAGCATAGCCTGCAACTGGATAGTGGGTGGGGCAAGAGGCTCAGAAGAGACCTTCCCTAATTTCTTGGGGTGTAAAGGAGACAGGGAGAGAACTGTAGTTTCAGACTTGCAATATTTTGTTAAAATAGCCTTAGAGTAAAGTAGAATTAGCTCATCTGGTGGTGTTTTCTGTCTATTCTACCTGGTAAGACTGACAGTTCAAGATCTCATGTGGCAGAGCTTATACAGTTAGTCCTCGCTTAATGACAGTAATCAGGACTAGAATTTCCATTACTAAGCAATGTGGTTGTAAAGCACAATGTCACGTGACCACGATGCTTAGTGATGGCAGTTCCTGTGCTGACATTAAGCACAATGTCACATGGTCACCATTTGCGATCTTTTTCCGGCTTACCCATTGACTTTGCTTGTTAGAAGCTGGCAGTGAAGGTCATAAATGGCAATCGCATGACCGTGGGATGCTGTGACCGTTATAAATATGAGGACTGGTTGTAAGTACTACTCATTCAGCACCATTGTAAGTTTGAACTGTTGCTGAATGAGTGGTCGTTAAGTGAGTACCACCAGAACTGCCCAGCATCCGGTCCACTTCCTCAACATCCAGGATGGAATGAATCCCAGATCATGTCACAAGACTCTATCTCTGTCATCTCCAAATCTTCCCAAGTAAACATGGGTTCCTATCTAAAGTTAGGTAGGGATAAAAGCAATATTTCTTAATTGCACCACTGAGGTTGAGGTACTAAATGCTTTAGGCTGGCAGGTAGAAGAACACTGTTACTTCAGTGTTTGAAGGGATGCATTGGGTGAACACTGACTAAATTCTAACTTGTTTTCACAAGATAACCGGAAAAATGTCCGAGTCTATTCTATAGTAAAATAGTCACATGTAATGACAAATTCCTGTGGTTGTGACATTAATTTTTATGTGCTTTCCTTCTTCTCCTCTGCTTTCCCTTTTTCTTTACTCTCCAAAGTGTTTTTATGTTCAGGATTGGAAGCACCACGTTTATATTATAGTGTAGAGCTAATAGATGAAGGGAAAGTCCTTTTAGTATATATGGCAAGCAGCCAAATAGGAAATAAAGATTCAGAGGTTTAGTTCTCAAATTATGAGTCCTATTTCCCTTATGAAGGCATGAGCTTTTGCTGAGAAAAGCATAAATCTCTTTGCCTCCCACTCCAAGCAGCGTACTGATCTCGATATCATAGTAATTAAATTGGTGCAGTTTATCATTGATTGACCATACAATGAGGCAAGGAGTTTCCAGTTGACTTTGTTTCCATCAAGCATCGCATGCAGTGTTTTCATGATGTTGTCTCATTTCTCCGCCCTTTCCATTTATTCCTTTCAAAACTGAAAAGGCAGCCCTTGCAATAAAACAGGGAAGGAGAGAAGGTGAGGAACAGCAGTTGGGTTGGACACTGAGCCAAGTGAAGAAATGAGATTTCAGGAATCTTTTAATGGAGTACAGAACCTACTGGAGAAGTATATGGGAAAAGAAAGAGGCACATAAGATCAAGCAAAGCAGAGGATGATATAAGAAACAAGAAAAAAGTCAGGGCTAAAATAAGAGAAGAAGGTGAGGTAGATAGAAGAGAGGAGAACAAAATCCAAGGTGTTTCAAAGAAACCAAGGAGAGAACTAAAGGTCAATATGGAAGAAAGGGGTATGTTTTCAGAGAAGAAGAGTTCAGGGCTCAGAAGTTTAGGCAAGCTAGTGGATGGTTAAAATGAGAGGAATCTGTTTTGCATGACCTTGAATGCATAAAATACCAAGTAAGACAGGAACATCTCAGATACTATGTTAATAAGCTTCCCTTAAAATTTTTGAGGTCTCCTAGTGCAATCCTTCTATGCTAAGTGGAAGATCTGATCACCACATATATGTTTGTGTGTGTGTGTGTGTGTATATAGCAGAATTTTCTGGACCTTGTTGTTCAGTCGTTAAGTCGTGTCCGACTCTTCGTGACCCCATGAACCATATCGCGCCAGGCCTTCCTGTCCTTCA